AGGCCATGGAGATGGAGAACGTGGAGCTGGTGGACACTGTGCAGCAGCTCAGCAAGGGGCTGGGTACGACTGGGGCCAGGCTGGGGGATGGAGGCTAGGTGCGGCTGGCAGGGGTGGGGTACGGATGGGGGCCAGGCCGCAGGGCTGGGGTGATGGGGAAGAAGGGGCTGAGGCTGCTCCGACACATCCCTGGTTGTGGTGGGACCTCAGAGGTACAAGAGCTCCCTCGTGCCTCCAACAAAGGTGGGACCCTGGGAGTGCAGGAGATCCCTCGTGCCCCAGATGTGGTGGGACCTTGGCAGTGCCAGCTCCCTCGTGTCCCCAGCCCAGGAGGGAGCCCAGGGGAGCTGTCCTACTGTGCCTCATGTCCCTGCTCCCCCCTCCCCCCCCACCAGAGGTACAAGAGCTCCCTCGTGCCTCCAACAAAGGTGGGACCCTGGGAGTGCAGGAGATCCCTCGTGCCCCAGATGTGGTGGGACCTTGGCAGTGCCAGCTCCCTCGTGTCCCCAGCCCAGGAGGGAGCCCAGGGGAGCTGTCCTACTGTGCCTCATGTCCCTGCTCCCCCCTCCCCCCCCACTTTCCTGCCCACAGGGTGCAGCATGCCACGAACTGCTACCTCTTCTCGGAGACGAAGGTGCCGTGGCAGCGAGGTCGGGAGACCTGCGCATCCCGCAGCAGCACCCTGGCCCACATCGAGACCAAGGAGGAGCTGGTACCCCACGGCGCGGGGACCCAGGGGTGCCCTGGCCTGGGCGAGCGGCCCCATTGCAGTGCCAACGGGCACACAGCTCCTGTGGTTGGTGCCCCGGTAGGGGTGCAGCCGAGGGACAGATGCGGGTTCAAGAGGGTGTTCAGGCATTCCCCCTCCCTGGGTGCTGTCCATGGGGCTGGCGAGGGGCAGAGCCTGCCCTCAATCTCCCTTTGTCCCACCAGGCCTTCCTGAAGCGTGAGTCCTCCCTGGTCTTTGGCATCAACCTCGGCAAGAAGGTCTTCCACAGCTACTGGCTGGGGCTGACGTACAACAGACAGAAGCGCAACTGGACCTGGGCTGACGGGAGCCCTCTGCTCCCCACCCTGTATGGCCATGGTGGGGGGCCCCAGGGCCTGAGTATGGCGGGGGTGGGGGGGAACCAACAGTGCTTGGGCAGGGGTTGCCGCCCCAGGGCGTAGGGATGGGGGGATGTGGGATGGAGACAGGGTTGGGGATGGAGATGGGCATGGGAACAGGGACAGGGATGGGGACAGGGATGGAGATGGGCATGGGGATGGGGACAGGAATGGTGACAGGGATGGAGATGGGGATGGGGACATGGATGGGGATGGGGATGGAGATGGGCATGGGGACAGGGATGGAGATGGGGACGTGGATGAGGATGGGGACAGCGATGGAGATAGAGCTGGGGATGGAGATGAGAACAGAAACAGAGACAGATGAGAAGGGCCTGAGGACAGGGATGGAAATGGAGGTGGGGATGGGGCCATGTCCAGGGATGGAGAAAGGGATGGAGCTGGGGCAGGGATAGTGACAGGGATGGTGAAGGGAATGGAGATAGCATTGGGGACAGGAATGGGGAAGGGCCTGGGGACGGGATCCCATGGTTTGGGACCCCCTAGAGACCCCCCCCAGTGGGGGTCTGTGGGGATATACGAGAGCAGTTGCCTCCTCCAGACTGCCCCAAGCGCCCAGGGGGTGGGGGGCAGCCCCAAGCGCCCAGCTGCACCCCCTGCCCCACCTGCCCACCACCCCGTCGCTCCATCTGCCCTCCCCATCCTGCCACCCCAGCTCCCTGCCCCACCT